TTGTCCTTTATCTTCTTCACCTTACGTGTGTCATTTTAATAAGACGCTTGAGCTCTTTTGTGACATTATTGTCGTTTGTCATCAGATAAGAAATCACTGTCTGTATCAAAATTTTCACGGATTATATATTTGAACTTGGCAAATCATAACATGTTAGTTCTGTTGTCCCTTTCTCGAACATTGTGAATTCATAGGTTAACATGGCAGGACTTGGAAGCAGAAGTAAAACAGCTTTGGCAGTGATGACAGGAATAACGGGTTTGGGCTTAGCATTTTACACCAGTAGAAGCTGTTCAAAATTATTACGTAGATTTCTTAGTACCTCCAAAGGGCCATCATGGAAAATGACCGTAAATGTTGCCAGCAATGAGAGTCAATGTATTACGCTAGTCAACGATTTAAAGAAGTTAGTAGTATTTTTTTGATAAACTTGTCTATGAATCTCGATATTTTATGTTTTTTTCTTGTCTTTACAGGGATATTGAATTTTCGAAAGTCCTTGGCTTTGATTGTGAGTGGGTCAAAGTAGAAAATGTACGGCATCCAGTTGCATTGGTTCAACTTGCCACACGGGAAGGACGTTGTGGACTTTTTCAAATTCATTTTTATTCCTCCGTGCCTGCCCCTCTGCAGGTAGAATTTTATTGCATACTTTATTCTTGCTAATCAAAACACTAAAATTGTTTTATTATTCGCAGGAACTTTTAGAGGATACAACCATTTTAAAAGTTGGTGTAGATCCATTTCATGATGCAAAATATCTACTTAATGATTATGGAATAAATGTAACTGGTACTTATGACATTAGACATTTAGTTGAGAAAGAAGTTGTTGGTGGCCTTGCTTCAATAGTTTTTACGGAGTTAGATGTCAAATTACCCAAGAACTTTGAAGTGCGTGTGTCTAATTGGGAGGCCAAGGAACTGACTAAAGAACAACAGGAATATGCTGCAAATGATGCTCTTGCATCCCTTCTGGCATTCAACAAATTAATTGATAAAAAGGTTTGTTTTACCTACACTTGCACTTGCACTAATTTTATTTTATTTTTATTTTCATCAATAACTTATTTTATCACAGGTGAAAGTTCCTTTTTTCAGCTCTAAAGAGGAACAGTGGAAAAAGATTCATGACCATTGTGCACCTTTGGTGGACATTCGTTTTGTAGACAAGAAGAAAATTCAGCAGACTGTAGCACCTTCGCAGAACTCGATATTTCCACTGAACAGAGACCAGTCAGGCCAGCCCCATGCCACAAATCCAACATTACAGGGCAAGAGATCATACATGTCAATTCCATATCGTAAAACACCATTGTATGATAATGCATACATGCTTGCACCGGATGGTGCTATCCTTTGCACGTGTGATTTCAAAAAGGCAGAATGGTACCATCTTTGGAAAATTTACGTGGTAATTAGAATTTGTTTTCTCTACCTGATCTATTGCCTTCTTATTATAGGTATGTCTCTAAAGGTCTGGCAACTATAGTTGATACAGAACCTCTGAAAATACAACTAAATTTTCAACCAGCTGTAAACCGTAGTCTTAATGGAACTTCAGCAGAATACTATACTTTTGCAAAAAAGAATCAGTGTGTTGCCTGTGGGAGGAAAGAAAGTTACGTGCGCAAGAAAATTGTCCCTCATGAATACCGCAAACACTTTCCAGGTGTCTGTTGATTCCATTTACAAAACTGTGTCCCTCCTAATGTATATGAAACACAATTTTATTGTTTCATTTTATTTTCTAGAATGCATGAAGTCACATCAGTGCCATGATATTCTTCTCTTATGTACAAATTGTCATGTTCGAAGTAATGTGTCAGACCACAGCATGAGAGTAGAGCTTTCACGGATTTGTAATGCTCCACTTGCAACAGATGAGAATGTAAAGGTTGGTACGGTCTGCAATCATATTATTTGATTTGTTAAATTTAGATTTTAATCATTGTCACTCCTTTTCTAAAATATTGTAGGTTACAGAAGACAGGACGAGTAAATCTATTCGCTCAGCAGTTAGAGCTTTGTTAAATAAGTCAAATAAATTGCCAGAAAAACGACGTAAGGAATTAACTGATATGCTCTCAGATGTTTTGCAAGCTGATCTCACTCCAGATCTTCTAAATAGTCTAAAAGACATAGACATAAAGTAAGTAGCCGTCATTACTTCACTAAAATTTGGTTTGTTACACCTTTAAAACAGGATTATTTTTATAACAGGATTGAAAACCAGGGTTATACCCCACACGGCCTTGCTGTTGTTGAACATTTTGCCAAGGAAGGTGTAAGAGGACTGATGCAACTTGAGAAAATGTGGAGAGAACATTTTCTCAATGTTATGGAACCAAAGTACCTGCCCCCTTTGTGGTCAGTCGATCACTATCATGAGAATGATAAGGAATTCTATTTTGATTCTGAATTCCTTGATAAAATTAAATTTGTCTAAATCAAGAATGACAACGGAAGACAAACGACTCTCATAGACATAGATTGAACAAATTATGCAAATGTAGCTAGAAAGATACAATTTAAGGATGTGGAATATGTGAGATATCTTTTAATAAATGTAAGAAATTACCATAGTTACTTGAAGCCTACACTACAAAATCAACTGACCTTGCTTGGATGACTGGTCTAGGGTCAGAAAATGTAGTTAAACCCTGTTATAACGTTTACGGATATAGTGTTTACCCGCTTATAACGTCGCGATTTCCTAGAACCAAAATCCAAGTTTCCATGCAAAATTAACCCGCTTATAACGTTTTCCCGCTTATGACGTCGCGATTTTACTTCCCCGAGGTGCGACGCTATGACAGGGTTTGACTGTAATTTGATGAGATCTTTCTTACATTAGTTAATAGAATTCCTGGAATTCCTGAAATTAAATCCTAGAATGAATCATGAATAATTTCTGTCTAAAATGATGTTTTATTCAACACTAATATAGGTACAAAGATTTTTTTACAAACTGGATTTGAGTATTCTGCTTTTAAAATATAATTTGCTTAAGATATGATTCAAAGATTAGGCTGATTTATTTCTGTATGCTGCATTAGCAAGATAACATACAGAATATTTAAAAAACACATGTCAGTAAAAATGACAAAGATCTGCAGAATCCAGCTGAAAAGATAAAAAAACAACAACAAAAAGATATGCTACACTACAACAGTTAAAATTGCGTACAATGTAATGACAATGAAATGATATGTACTTTAAAATGAAACAAAAAATGTGAATGTTTCAGAGTACACAAACATTCAATGAGGTGATTAGCATAACAGGAGGAAAATCAGTCTTACCATTAAAAACACAATAATCTAGAATTTCATTAAATACAGTTAATTTCATTTCTAATTTGGATCCCCAACAAATCTGGCCACTTACATTATACATCAAAGTAAAAAGATTGGGCACAGCAAAGAATCTGGCATTAATTACTTGAAAAAGGTAAGGTATGTGAAGTTTTAAAACCACCATGACCAAAACATTCTTGTATTTGGTAAAATACAAACTTTGGAAAATAATTATAAGTTGTACAATTGTGAGAAAAGTTTTACAATACCCAAGGTACAGTTAAAATTATAATATAAAAAGTTAAAACAAATTTTCCACTATTAGGAAATCTTTGTGATGGCTTTGATTCAAGTGTAAAATTTGCAAAGTCTGGAAAAGATTAAGAACACATTTTAAAGCCCTTGAGCCATAGACAGATATAAGAATAGAAGACTAGCACCGTTCCTGGTCTTGTTCCCTTTAACAATAAAATGAACCAGTAAACCCTGCCAAGCCACCAAATTCCTCTTACCCTGTGGAAGGTAAGTAGTTGCTAAGTGATATGCCAAGAAAACAAATTTCTAAAGAAGTCCAGGGGTCTAAATGGGTAATTCACAACCTAAAAACATTGATAACCAAAGAAGAGTTGGGAAAAGAGTTATTCATAAAAGTTTTACAATATCTTTCAGATGCCCACTGAACAATGCAAAATTCAATCACAAGAATAATTACAATTACATACGTCTTAAAAGAAGTTTTAACAGGTACAGTACATTAAACAAAATTAAGAGCAAAGTTCACTGGATGGATATAAAACTATATACCACTTTCACACCACAACTCATTGAAATAAGTCTAAGGGAATGAAAAACATAGAAAACTAAGAGCTGTTCAAAGACATCTTTGAGATATGTGCAATAGAGAACAGTATCGACTAGTTTTCACACAAATAATTCAAATGATTTGAGTATCACTGGTATTCAAAGCACATTAATGCCTTAAAATTGAATTCAGAACTAATCTTTGACAGATTACTCTTGAGCAATTGACGCTTCGGGTGAGTCTCTATCATCACCTTCTTTCCGTTCTCTTGTCCATTCTATCATAGTTTCTGGAGATCTATACAAGAAGACTAGCTTAGCAAACAAGTCCTCTTCCAAATCCAGCTCTCCACTTTCTCGCACAAGGTATATGTCGAGACATAGCTGGACAGAAGAAATGAATTAATTAGCAATGACATCTATTAGATAAACTTAACAAAACTACAGAAAACAAAATTACTTACTTGAAGAATGCGGTCAACATTTGGCAAGTCTTCAAACATAATTTTGGAAGCCAAGTTACTGAAGAAGGATCGTACAAACTGACTAGCCACCAACACAAATGAAGCATACAATCCAATAATGCTAAGAATGAATGTAGGAGAAAAACTGTTAAGCAGGTTCAGAACAAAACAAAAAAATCATCAAACTAAACATTAAATGTTTTCCCTTACCCTTTTCCAGAGAACATACTCAGCGTAGCAGGGAAGGTTTTGTCATTGAATGTATAAATCAAGAGTGTTTGATTACAATTAGACTCTGAACCAGCTGAAGGAATATTTTTGATAATCTCTTGGAATGTTTGGTCATTACAATCTTCCAGGACTGTCCACCACTTTAGGGTAGAGCTACCGTAATTCATTTTAAGGATTACATCTCGGTACTGAGTGTCAGCATCTGCAAAGAAAATTTATACAAAGACATGTGTTTTACAGTACTATAAAATAAACACATTATACACATTCCAGTGTGGGCCTTCATACCTTTGCCAGGAAGTAATTGCAAAATTGGATTGGCTCCATTGCTGTTTACTTTGATCAATTTGGGTAAGAGATTGGGAATAACAATAGAAATACTTTCTGATGAGCTGTTTCCAACCATTGGGGAAGTATTATTTATTGTGGCTTCCAGCACCTGCAAATAATAGGAAAAACAGCAATTTAAAACACAGTTTCTTATTTAAATATATGTTGACAGAAATAAACAAGTAGTTTTACCGTCTGTAAATTTTGACGAACAGTATTCCTGTTCCCTGACTTGGGATCTATTGCTGGCAAATGAATTGTGTGAGTCCCCTCTGAATATCCTTTATCTTCAGGACTGCTTTGGCGCCGTTCCACTCGCCAATCAATTGTGACATTAAAAGGCATGTCTGTAAAGTAGATGTAAACAGATGCTCAAATTAGGAATCTATGAAAAGAATATCTTAGAAAGTACACTACAAACTATGTACCTGATGCAACTTCTTCTCTCAATTTGATTAAGTCTGGGGGAGTTATTGTCCATAGGCTTCCAGAGTGAATATTGAACAGGATCATTGCAACAGCTTGGTTGTCATAGTTAGACAAGAAATTCTGAGCTGATTGATACTGTCGATAAACACCATTGAGAATGCGCCATTGATTCTCATTGTACCTAAATAAAATTGAAATTTACTAGAATTGTATAGGGAAATCGGAGGAAAATGAGTAAAGAATTTTGTGGGTCTTACTCTCTTATTTGGTTTCCTTCGGCTGCTATGTCATAAATTGGCTCAAAATGACCAAGTCGCATCCGCAATGTCATTTTCAGAGGCAAATTAGGGCTACCAACAGTATTCCCCAAGGCAAATAGCACCAGTGGGAACCAAATGATAGCTATTATAAACAGTAGACCAAGACCACCAACAAGGTATTTAACTATTACATTTTTGCGGACTCCCCTCGGCTGTGGATATTCAGTCTGAGCCCGTCTTTCACACTACACAAACAGAAGAAAAAGTTAATGATCCCATGAAAACGAAGTTTTATTCCTTTACATGCAACATTCAATTTACCTTAAGCTGGAATAGCTGGGAAAATATGTCTTCCATTTTTAACCATTCCATCAATGACATTGATGTATCAGTCCACATCCAGTCCATTATAGCGCGGAGCTCAAAGACAAAAGGTATTGTCATAAACCTGTAGTGCACAGAAAAATATAAAGTTGAACATCAACAGAAAACAAAATAATAATAATAATTCAAAGGCACCAAAACTTTACTCACACTTTGAAAAGATACATGTTGAGATAGTTATAAGCTTTACACAAGAAATTTCCCAGGATGCGAGTTGGGTACCCTGATCTAATTTGGTAGGCTGATAACAAGAGATAAAAACACTTCACAACATACCACATCTGGGGTGGAAGGGTTTCGTTGAATTTTCTGAAAAATAAGAAATTGAAGAACAGGAATATTGGAAAAGAAGAATTTGAATAGAAAATGAAAAACAAAAAAAACAATGTACCTTTCAGTTACGCCAGGTAAAATGAAAAACATCCATATGTGGATCCCAACTACAAGACCACATTGGAAAATAATCTTTCCAAGAATATATTTCCGTAAGTACAGAGTTCGGTCAATGATAATCAAGGCAAATTGAAGAATTAACATCACCAAAAATGGCACAGGAACTTTGTTCTCTTCAAAGTATTCAGAAACACTACCACCGCCAGCTGCTGACTAAACACACAAACAAAAAATAAAACTAGGTACAATTATGATTATTATGAGCAAACATTGTTTGGTTTTTAAATACTTACACCAAAAGCAGAAAAACCAAATATCACGACCATAAAATTGAAGAAATCACACATGAACATGTAAGCATAAACATCAGCATTTACTCTTGATCCTGGATCCAGAAGCAGTTTAAAAAATGTTCTCATGGAGGTCATGTACCTCTTCCACCTTCAATAGATAATTTTTTCAAATTGAATGAAATTTACCATACAACTTAAGCACAACAGTGATGTTACAATTAGATATGTTTAAATATTTTCTTACGTCAATTTCAAGATAGAAGGAAATCTGTCCATGGCGTTTTCCCTGAAGGTTTTGGCAACAACAATTTGTTTGCTTTGATTCGATTCCACAGGGCTCATCACCATTCCATCAAGAACCGAACCATCAACTAGTACTTCTTGATTTGTATCAGTAAGTATTCCTCTTTGTCGATCTCCATCCTCCAACCATGATGGTCTAATCATACTTATTCTGCGCCCATCAGATAATGTGAAGGTTTTGAGGGACCCTCGATGAGTCACTGAGACATAGAATATAATGCACACATAAAACAGATAAAACCCAACTGATTGACTAAAGGAAAATATAATAATCAACCAACATTGCATTCCAGGTTCGTAGATTGAAACGCGCCGTACTCCAGGGTCACTGTGGGTGGTGTGCACAGAATCAGCACTTTCACTAGCTATTTTATCATCCCTCTTCTTGTCATGTTCTTCTTGCTTGCTTTTTCTCTGAAGAAAAGTGAAAATTAAATTATTAATTAAGATCAAACTTTAGTATCTGAAAATAAGCTTTCTAATACAGGGAGAGGATTTTCTCACCTCTTCACTGCTACTCTCTTGAACAAACTCAAAATGATCATTGTCTTGTGGGTAGGTAGAATCATCTTCATAAAGGGATTTCCAGAGTCCCAGAGATTTTAACATAAATCTAGCGTAAGAAAAATATACATATAAGGAGTATAACTTAAGATAATTCTCAAATAGAAATACCAAGATACTTTATCTATTATATTAAGGATGTTAAGCAAATTACCTGTGGAAAAAGAGAACCAGCAATAAAGATAGATCAAAGACAGCATAATTTGGCTTTTTCTCTATGCCTATTATCCTTGGCGGCCAGAATGGGTTCTTTGTATTGGAGGGGACATTATCCTCATGATTCCAAGGTAATAAATCAAATTGGAACATACACTTTATAACCACCATAACCTGGTAAACAAGAAACACCATTTATCAGCTACATTCAAGAACCATTAAAACATCACTAACAGTATAAAATATAGTACTAGTAAGCCAACCTCAGTATAAGCAATGATGACCACCCAAAAGGTTGTCGAAGGTCGTGGAACAGTAAGGGTACCCCACAAGAAAACCATGAGTGGTAGGGGAATGGACAAAATTGTAGCAGACTTCATTTGATGCAAGAATATCATAAAGAAACAGGCCAGGTCAGAGTGCGAAACTATTGTGTACCACACTGCAAGAAGAAGTTGGACAACCGGTGGTTGCTCTGCAGAACTGAGTCCAGCCTGAGGACTGCTACTTGCGGGTGAAACATTGCTGCAAAGTACAAAAAGAAATTAGTCAAAGCTCCATAAAAATGTGACTTCAAAAAGTTATAAAAGCTATTGTTTCAATTTTTTAAAATGGCAAGTTTTAAATGCATTTATAAACCTTTCAAGATAAACTGGTAGCATTACACAGATGAGAAAGATCTATTTTATACATCACAAGCAAAACAATGCGTCAGCAATATTTTATTGCACAGGCAAGCTCAGTAGAAAACACACAACACACGAAGACCAAGCAAGTTTGTGGCATATGAAATGCAATCATGCGACTATGTAAGAAAGAATACAGCACAAAAGTTTTAGTGGTAATTAAAACTGTACATAAAAATTAGAAAAGTTTAAGAGTGTTTTCTCTATTAGTAATAATGAGGAATGAGAAATCATAACATATGTACCAGAGCAATTAATGGTCAAATGGTACTTGATTTGAGTTATACAATCAATATAAGACAGAAAAACCAGAAAAATTGAGAAAGAGAAAACAACAAAAACAAAAAAAAACAAAAAAAAAAACAGGTTCACACAAATCCAGAAACATCATACCTCTCTACACATTCATCTAGTCCCACTTCAAGACTAGGAGCAAGGACTCGAATAGAAGGTAGACAGAGCGCAGTCTTAAGCTGCCTGCAAAGTGGGTGAGGAAAACTCTAAAAATACAATTTAAATTTAACAAATAAATCTAGATCTAGCGTTTAGAGCCATAACTAGCAACAAATTGCATAACATAGTATGGTTTATAAGCATGCAATTTTTATATTACTATATTTAAAGCCTAAACCCACACCTAAAAGCAGAGGTTTCACAAGGTTGTTTGAGTAATAAGCTACTCTATTATTCTTATTTTTGAATGCCAAACTTCAAGAAATTTTAATTTATATAATTTAAAACAATACTTCAAGAGCAAAACTACCAGAAACACAAGTCTGCACATACAAGCATTCCATATGACATTTCTGCGACCCCTCACCTTACATGGAGCCGATTCATGTCACTATTAGATTGGCCAACTGCAGCACGTTGGGGAAGGTTAGTGGAAAGCATCTCCTCCCTGAGAAGTAATTAAATAAACATACATGCAATCTTTTCCACACCTAAAGTAGGTACTACTAATAATAACGGAAACACCAAAGTTTAAGCCACAGCTCTTAATAACTTTTCGTTCACTGCAAAACATGCATGATGCAGTCAGCATGGACAAGATGAGACCGATGAGACCAACACCCACCCTGACACTTTCAGGACTTCCCATTTCTGATTTTACACCGGAGTATTCAAACAGGTAATAAATAAAGCCCCACTAACCAAATTGTGTCATAATAGACTTGAAAATAAAATCTGATTAATTAGTAGAAAGTAGTAGAAAGAAAAAGACATACCTAGAACGATGAACTTGAAGTGCTTGTGGTGAAGGTTGCCACATTTTTGCAAGGCCGACACGTTTACCTTCTCCAAAATCAGGTTCTTCCTAAAATAGACAAGGAACAGTTATTATAAAAACCTAAAATTAGAGGGGAAAATGCAAATTTTGTTGGTAATTGTTATTTATTTTTACCTTAAGAAGTTTCTTTTCAACTGCAAGTACTCTTGACACATAGCGGTAATCTCGAGAGAATGTATTTAACCATCGAGTCAGGGATACCATGATGGAGTTTAAGGATACAATCAAAAAGTGGAGTAGTTGGCTTATTTTACTCAGCCAAGATTCCTGTCTTACTTCTTATTAATAGGGAAAGAATATGTCTTAGGGTATGTACATAAGAGAGAGTGAGAATATTACAGGGAGATGACCGTATGACATACCAACTTCATCAGCTTCTAACTCCTCTCCGTCTGAACTGGAACCATGCTCTGAGGAAACCAATGGTTTTTGATCTCCTGGATCCTCTCCATCCCTAGCATCTTGAGGGAGGACTGCACCATCCTATAAAATCAAGATAGGTGACGTACAATAAATATTATATAAAATAATAAGAATGGAGTACAGAGTATCATATCACATCTGGGATCTGGAGTACCATATTTATACGATTCTAAGCCGCACGCGACTTAAGACCACACTCCAAATTTTGCAGAGGTTTTACAGGAAAGAATCCTATAAGATCCCTGCTAAACGTGTACTTAATTCTAGGCCACACCTAGAATTTCGGATTTCAAAACCGGGAAAAAAGGTGCGAGCGATTTAAAATCGAACAAACATGGTAACTACTTTCACATTACATAGATTTTGTATAAAAATTGAAAAACGTTAAAATAAAAATTAAAAAAAAAAAAAAAAAAAAGGAGTATCATTTGCTAAATAGAAGAAAAAAGGAAGGGGATTATTTAATCATCCATGTTACTTAACAGGATTTTGTTATGCTATACAAGACAAGGTATAAGATAAAAATTATAGGGAGCATAAACAATGCACAGGCATCCACCACAAACAATCAAGCTAGCAAAACAATTCCACAAAAGTCCAACACACACCCAAACAACAAAAACAGATTTCTCTTCAGGTTGTAAACATGTAATGGACTTTTTAATGCACACTAGAGTAGGTTTCCAACAAAAAAAATGAACTGTGAATATCAGAAGACATGTCACATAACGATGAACGGGCTGTACAACGAGAGTCACCACTAGCTCATATTGAATCAGCGGAGATGGTTAAATAAGGAACAAGAATGTAGTGTAGCTCCCCTTCATGCTACAGTAAATACTGAGTAATTCACATATTTTTACCACATTAAGACAGATTAATGAAGGTGCAAAGAAGAGACTGAATGGAATCAATTCCTTCAACATGCCCTGGATCATCCCCCCACGTAGTGCTTGCTAATAAAAGCAAGCATCAAATTTTTGAGAAATAAACAGAAGATTAAAAACAAAAACTTTATGGACCCTTTCTTTTCTATGAATGAAATACCTAGTGCGTTTTCCTAAACACACAATAATAAAAACTAACACACTTTCAATGGTTTCCTTTGAATGAAAACAGGCTGAAGAACTTACCAAATGCTGTGGTAAATCAGCACATGAAATCCTGAAAGATCATTATTTATTCACGTAGCAAAATGAAATTGAATGACTAATATCATACCGGACTCAGATGCGCAGATGACGTGGTAGTGGCAGTTGTAGGCATAGTATCCGGACCAGCTAAACCAGCACTTCTCTGGCTGCTCCTGCGACTGCTTCTTCTTGTTCCACGACTGCCACAGCTAAGCTCAGAATCCGCTGTGGTGAAGGAGGCCCTTTTCTGAAGTGTGCCAGTTGCTGATGATGCGTGAGCTTTGTCAACTGCCTGCTTGATGTCGGTCTTTAATGCCTCACTGAAAAGCTGTAACGCAGCCAAAAACTCCATTGTGCTAATATATGTGATGTGCCTCACAATCACAACTAGTGAACACCCTGATCTGGTAACAGCCAGTTTTTAAGTAAGGGATGGATGTGATCAGAAGTTAGATATGATTTAGGAAATGGAAACGAGCAGATGGTTAGTCTTAAGACATGCCAACCCTGGTTACACATAAAATTGACTTTACACTTGTAGTGCATTGTATTCCAAGCAGTGCTTCCCAAAGCCCCAGAATGATATTTCATGCATCCTGGTATACTCAAACAACTATAGATAGGTAAAAGTTCTCGTAAAAATGTGTCCCAAGAATAGTAAAATCCAATTTACTGGCGAATGTACATCAAATCACATATAAATGGACACCGCGATACTGTTGCAAAAGATACAACAGAGAGAACAAAATAGGACCCACAAAGACAAATGCATGACAATACGTACAATGCAGCACGGTAACAATTGAGTGCTTTCATTTAACACAAATCCCAAGCTTTCATTAGGATATCTTGACCATAGAACTTACCTTGCTGATGGTTAGTTGACCTGCTAATCTGTCTTCAGCTTCATCATCTTCTTTGCGCCCCACATCAGTAGGATCAACCAAATCAGCTTCTGGCATGTCTTCAAACATGTAGTAGTCTCCAGATAGGACAGCTGTCAGTGCAAAAACCACTGTATGAGTAAGTTGCTACGGATTGCATGTTCAATGTTGGTAAGACAATATCAAACTAAACATTGAACATGCAGCAAATTTTTTCTGTAAATTCAAAGTTGCACATGTGCTATCAAGCAACAATAATCTAACATGAAAAGGAAGTATGTTATCTCTCACGTTGGCACAAAAATGCCATACAGCATGAGGTGTTAGAAATAAATTTGCGTAAATTGGAAATACAAAACAGAAAAAGCTAACATATTTACAGTTTGACGAAAAGAAACCATAAACAACAGAAAAACAACTGTTGACTACATGCGTAAAAGCATGCCACTAAATATTTCACACTGACTTTTTAAAATATTATTTGCATTAGGATTACCAGGAAATGGTTACAGTGGTTATATATTGGACATGCAGAGCCATAAACACAATCATAAGAGCAAAACAAAAACATGATGCAGAGAGAAACTAGAAAATATAAATTAAATACAAGATGAAAAGCAATCAAACTGTAAAAAAAAGTGCAATTATAAAAAATTATGTAAAAAAAGCTTGGTTTTGGTTGAAAATTTCACTTTTGGAACCATAACGTACTAAGCCCTCACATTTGAAAAATTCAGCAGAGGTGAATTTGCAATGAAACAAGTGGGCCAATGCATGAGGATTTTTCACACTAGAGACTACTTTTACATAGTGCTGACAAAAACAATTAGTATTAGACTAAGCTAAAAACTACCGCTTCCTTTGGCAGGACCAGTCAGCAACATTTACCAGAAGCTAACAACCACTTGGTTAGCAACTAGCAGTCGGGAAGGTACCATAACGCCTGAACGTCTTGTGGAGCTGAAAACTAAACTTCCACCACGCTAAAGGAAAAGCAAAAGCAAATCATCAAGAGTGAAGATACAGATTGTCACAGTCTTGGAGAAAAGCTTCTAGACAATGAGATCACAAGAACATATTCCAGCTGATGCTAGACTACCAATGAACAGAATTACCAGCTTCATTAGGTGTCATAGCAGTGATGCAGCAGTCACAGCGATCAGCGTCTCCACTCTCTGACATCATGTCAAACTTTAATTTCTAGCAATTGACTTAGATATTCTGCCAAAATAAAAATTTTAAAAAAGGCAGTCAACATATATAACTTTATGCAAGTATTTCTACAAATGCAAATATTACCTACAATGTACAGCAGTTACATGCCAGAATGAGAATGTATAAACAAAATTAGAAATAGGTAATAAAGGAGCATTAAATGAGTTTGACAGGCTGGATGGACCACAGTATTAACCCAGATAAAAAGTGAAACTAGACTTTTAAAAAACTTACAGTTTTACATATAAAAAATATTATTAGCAACTGCAAAACGTAATTTTGAAATCATGTTCTTGAGATGAAGCAGAACAATTCATTAAATGAAAAACAGGGCTGAAACTAAAAATTCTGAGACAAAACTCAGCACAGTTTGTGAAGGTATTTGCTCCATACTGTATACGGTAGATTCTTTGAAAGCAGCTTCTATGACTGCTAGCCATAACTGCACATGCTCTACTAATGGCCCTGAGCAGTTTCAAAAGCAGCCCAAGATCAAAAATACACTTTAGCGGATTATGAACATTTTTATATAGAGAGGACTACTTGCGATGAGTGTATGATCGCCTTACAACTGTTGTTTGATCCAATGTGCTGTCTCCCTTATACACAGAGGATGATGGAACTGGTAAAAACCCAGAATCACATTTAAACAGCAATTTTGATATGTTTCAACAAAGCAGGAGGGTACCCACACAAGGATGGGGAACATTTGTGTCTGTACACAACCACAAATATATATATATATATACAACATAAAACTTCAAGCTTTAAAGAAATGACATCAAATGTACATAATAAGCAGGCAATATTTATCAGCCAGTAGCGCCCATCACTGCTAATATAAATAGGTCGATTAATTTTTACATACAATGCAACAAGAAAAGAGCATAAAAATAGAATAAAACAATAAAGCTCACACACTGGGCCAGGCAAAATAAACTTTTACCACTGGAATCTTATAAAACGCATATCCCAAACTATCAAATATTAATGTTTCTTCAACCTCCAACTGAAAAACGGATTGGTAATTGAACACATTACTGCACACTACTATGCATATCTTTTTAAGAAATTGAGGTGGCTACACCCCATTGATGTATTTGTAACAGAATTTCTGACTTAGTGGACACACTTCTTACTAAACTACAGTAAATTAAATAAATTGTAGGTCTCAGAGTAAGAGGACATATTCCGTACCCAGCCCTAGCTACCTCCCTCCAAATCTTTTCCAAATTCAATCAGAGAGTATGTTTAGTGCTGTACACCAAGCTTCCAATGTGAATATAAAAACCGCCTTCCCAGGTCAATGCGTACATGTGTGGTGTGAGTGCGTCGAGGACCGAGAGATGGAGTGCCGTGGCGAGGACAGACTAGGCCGCCAGGCGCCACCGCTGCCCCCGAGGCTCGACAGCCTCCTGGCGTGTGGCACCACGGCGCCATATGGAGGCGGAGAGAAGACCGGGAACGAGTCGTCGAGGGATGGGATCCGCGGCAACAGCTCCGACGTCGGCGGGCTGCCGAACGACACCCGCTGCGGCTCCAGGTAGCCGTCGGCGGTCATGATGGCCGAGCAGGGGGTCGGGGCCTGAGCGCGCAGCAGCGACCCGGTGCGCGGCGTCAGCGGCGCGGGGTCCTCGTCGTCTTCGTCCTCATCGTCAACGGGCGTGTGAAAGCCTGCGGGAGACCCGGTCGTCGACGAGCGCGGCGAAGGAGCTGCTGCGGCTGAGTCTACCAGAGTGGCGACGGGGGCGGGGTAGGGTGAGGAGGAACGAATTACTTTATGAAGGGATGATGCAAACGATTTGAATGGCAGTTATCACAGGGGTGCCAGGTGTCTATAGGAACTGAGAAGGTCACAAAATAGTTTCCAGCTATTGCCAAATTCGCCTTCATCTAGGTGCTTTGACTACGAAAAGTTATGCTTACTTCACAAAATTGAAACCTATTAAAATATGGGCTAAACAAAATGTTGGGTCGTTAAAAATGGAAACAAGCCGCAGCAATTCCTCCTTTCACAGACACAAATGTTTTAAGAATAATAACATGTAGAATTCCACAGAACATTGGAACAGAGAGACAAGAAAAAGAAGGCAGCGATGGGCGTAGTAGTACAAGTAACCCATATTAGTAATAAAGTCAACAAAACAAAAAACAAAAAAAAAAAAACAACAAAAAATACATTTAAATACACAAAGTAAAACATGTTCTCCCTCTGTCATAAGGATGGGAAAACACACAAAATCAAGGCAAACACAAAGTCCATACTTGCACACAAAACATTTGAGGATAAAAAAACACAAAAAAAAAAACAATAAAAATATTTGGGGGCAGTCAATCATTTATACAGAAACAGACATACCACTGCACTCAAATTGCATATTTCAGTGAAACTTTTAATTAAAACTTGTTCCGGAAAGAAGTACGTACCAGTGAAATGGCTGCTTGGCTCACGATATGATGGCCCCTGAACTTTCATCTGAGATGCTTTAATTCGTTCCATTTTCAACTTTATATTTTCAAGAATTTGATTCTCTCTTTCCATCTGTTCCATAATTTGCTTTTGCCTTAACTCCTCTATTAATTCTGCTCCTCTAAATAAGAGAATCCAGAACAGATTAGAGTACAGATTAAAATATATTTTTTAAAGAAACAAAAAAAAAAAAAAAAAAAAAAAAAAAAACAATAATTGTAAATCACATTATTTTATACCTTGATGCTAGGATAGTCATTGCTTTTGTTTCATCTACAATGTGGAAAAAGTAATAAGATTGGAAGAGGCGTCTTTGGAGTAACAAAAATCCAAAGCACACACCATCCCAAGCCAGGCCATAGCTTTCTAGGTGCACAGTACAACCATTTGCTGAAAGAAACCCTAATCATATTTAACAAATTCAGATAATATAAATTCATATTTTCAGTTAAGTTTTCTAGTTTACAAGATTCCTCAGGGCGTCCAATAAACGTGGGAACAAATCCATGGAATTTCCTGATGCAGGCAATGCCCATTAACTGAACAAACCAACATGCATTTGACTGTACTTGTTCCATAAAAATACAGCCAATAACTTGGAGAAGAGTTTTCAGAAAAATGACAGCCACATTGTAGCCAAGAAGTGCATTCCACCTGTGACAAAAAGTAGCACAAAGTTAAACACAAAATTTTACAAAATGTGCAAGAAAAATGTTAAGCTTGAATTATGAATTAACGGAAGTACCATTTGTGGATGACTCGTATATCCCGCAAATACAAGTCGCTGCCCATCCAGAGAAATACAAATGCTCCTATGAGATATCCAAGTGAGAAGAGGTTAACTCGATTTGTTCCAGCAAGGAACATGATGGCAAGTGTAAGCCACATCATGCTCAACAAGACACCACGTTTTACAACGTCTAACCATGATCTGAACAGAAAATATTAAAATAATAATGAATAGCTTGGTTTGTAAATAATAAGCAAGAGAACAAACAAAACAACAAAAACAAATAAAAACTCACCTTATGGAAGATATGTAATCTGGAACAGGGTTGACAAAATCTTTGTTGTCATACTCATGAATAATACTAGCATTACTTCCACCAGGGAAACTATTATCTGGATACTTTCTTTCAATTCTAAAAGCCAATCCTTGACAAGACACAAACATAAGAAGAATGAAATCACCTAAAAAATGAATGAATAATGTTATTGATGCCTCAAACAAAAATTTAATTGCTTAATTAATCAAAAAGACATGGTTTCTTACATGCTATTTTCCCAATCTCAGGTTTGTTTATGGGATCAGGTAAAAACATCCATTCTTGAAGGCCTTTTAACATATCTGACATATCCCATGGATAATCTGGAACAGCAAAATGATCCATGGGTGAAAATATGTTTTTTGAATTAAGATCTGAGTATTTTCCAACAAATACTAACCAACACAGAGTGATGGAGGGACATCAACCACCATAATGTACTGAATGATAAGGCATATGATTATGAAAGAAATGTATGGAGTCCACAAACGAGCTATGCGTTCTCTCTTCATTGCAAACATAGCTAAGAGCCAGATAGCATGAAGCATAGCGTAGAAATCAACTCTGGTCCCAATTAGTGCAACCATTGCGACCATACAGATCTATGACAAGAAATAAAAAATTATAACTAAAGAGTGAAATTGGAAAAAGGGGTATTGGTGATTGGTTCCGTGACAAGATGAAGAACAAGTTACCTCTATACCGAAACGATAGAAACCATAATTGAGAATGTACTTCACACAATTTAAAATATTTTTATCAGCATCTGCTCTTGTAATCCTTGGAAACATGTACTGAGGTGTACTGATGGAGCGACCTCTGAGTGATCTCTTGTATGTTTGATGAATGTTCACAACAGTAACAAAAGATGCAACCAAAATAACACCTAGAAATTGTAAAACCAATATAAAAGAAATAAAATCATAGGAATATACAGTTTAATTAACCAGAAAGAGGATAGTTGTGATGTAAATGATAATTTTAACTTACCAATGTAACCCTTGACTACATCAGACAATGTGGCTTTAGAATCAGCTTTTCTAAATCCAAGCCAAAGAGCATTATTTAATGTGATATTAAACTCCTGTTTTTCTCCTAATGATGTATTCCACTTGTGTCTCTGGAAACCACAAAAGTAGGTTAGCACACAAGAAAGATATGGTATTTACAATAAATAACTGCAAAACCTAAACCTTTATCTTTAAATACCATACTTACAATGCATTCATAATCCCAGACCTTCATATCAATGTATTCAATTTGGTAAATCATAGTTCCAAGCATCAAGAGAGCAACCCAAACAGAGCATATGTTGCAGGCAATTTCTTGGGCTCTACTACTAAAAGCAAGAGAAACCACAACCAACAGAACCATTGGAAAGTGCAAAGCACAAGGCTGTAAAAAAAATAAAAAATTGTTTTATGGTCCAGTGATTTTAAGTAAACCAAATTCAGTGAAAAGTTAAAACCACTTACCACAGCAATACAGAGAAGCATCACAGTGAGAAGCATTAGTTTGGAAATGTGTAGCTCAAGGAACAACCAGACAAGCTCAATAAATTGCTTCAAGAGATGAATGCCTTGCTGCAGACTCCTACGCCCCCGTAGCGAAGATATGTCTGAAAATATTAAAATTAAAATTTATTACTGGGTGACAGATAGATCATGTTGAGTCTTGCTATTACCACCAAAAGTGTGGTGATGTTGTACTCAACATATGTTACTTCAAGGGTTTTAATAAGGTTAAAATAGAAACTGACGGCGCAAAACTTGGAATTTTCCTCGGCGCTGTGATGGGGCAGTTGAAGCTCCATCAGTTTCACTTCGGGCTGGGGCTCCAGGTTCAGAAGAAGTATCTGATTTGTGAGATGCTCTGCTTCTAGATTGTTGCGAGAAGCTGACGCCTCTGGGGGAGAAAAAAACAAACATCATGAGCAAAAATAGACACAGAAAAGTTGTTAGAAACATAAAATTACAATTTTGAATAGATAGTATGTTTTACAAAAAGAACATGCTCTGCACCTGCTTTTGATGTCAGAAATTGCCAGAAAATCTTTGTGGAAGTAATTCATTTGAATAGCTGTTATAATTACAAAGAATGTGGGTGTTATTAAACGGACAAACAAGTCCTTTGTGTGGAATTTTTGCAAACCAATATCTGCTTGCCTTGAAAATTTAAAGAAAAAACTTTCATTAATGAAAAAACACAATGCACTGAAGGAGAAAAACAGTATTTAACCAAAGCACTTACAATTGCTCTGGAATACCCAGATAGGTATCCCAGTAAGTGTTGAAGTTGTCAAACTGGTACGTATATATAAGCACAAGGATTATCATTGAAAAGACAATGACAGTTAGCCAGAACCCATACAGCATTCTTCTCCATGCTTTGTATGACAGCTGCAGGTATGTTAAAAATTAAATCAACAGAGGCTCATGAATTGAATGTTGAATTTGGTAGAACTATGGTTGCAGCACACTGTACCTTGAAGGTGAGGATGAAGACAAGAAATAGTCCCATATACACTATACGGAATCCTGTCATCTTGTCACCAGTTATACCAATGACAAATAACATTATGGCAACAACCCAGATCCAGAACTTAGTCAATAGTTCCTTAACGTAAATCCCCAAACGCCGCATAAAAGGTGAAGGGGCTTCTGCAGGTGGAGGAGACTGCATTCCTTTACAAAATTTAAATATTGTTTTTTAATTGATTGATTTATAACTATTGAAAACCAATTACTACATAATCCCAACACTTACCAGAGGTGGCAGTAGTTACAGTTATTTGTAACGGGGCAGCCATGTCAGCAAGAGCAGAAGTGTTTCTAGCTTGCCACCTCTCTTGCATGTACTGACGCAATGTTATCCAAAACATGACAGTATACAAACTCTGCATTTAAAAACAATGAAACATACAGAGGTATTATGACACATCATAGCATACAATAACGTACATGAAATAGGTTGAATGGATTTACCTTGATTAAAACAGGTTTGCTTGGTGACACATTTATAGGTTTCTCGAAACCAATTTGCTTCAGATTAATAGTAGAATTAACATTTTCTGGTAGCTCGGTGAGATCAAGGGAGTAAACATACTGAGCAATCAAAAGGAATAATGCATATGTTACAAGGAAAGGTGAGCAATGTAGCATCCACCTTCTTTGATTTGGGACCATCCACAGGATTGAAGCCCACAGGAGAAGAAAAAATGTCAACCAAGAGTGATATGTTATACTCCACGTCTAGAATTGGGGGGGAAAAAAGTTAGCAGAGACAAAAAAATGAATAAAGAAAAGCAACCGACATTCTTTTTTGTTTACCATCATAATGATATTTGTAACAATGTAAGATGATCTTATGATGAGTTGGAAAACAGTAACAACAGAGTCAAGTAGTTTATCAAGCCAATGATCGCCAAGATCCTCACCTGTGACAAAAATTGAAATAAAATACATCATTTGAAAATAAAATTATTAATGCTGTACAAGTTATTTAAACAGTTGCAATTACTTCTTTCTAAATTGGATGCATCAGTAATTGGGAAAAGTTGAATGGACTCTGCTCTCTCTCGTCCACTGGCACCGTCAATTACTGATATGGCTCCAAGATCAAGAGAACTGCCTTGTCCTCTTCTTGTTGTCTGGTATTTGTTCGGAATAGCACCCTGTATCAGCTGATTTGCAGGAAAAGAAAGTGGATTGTAAGCAGGGTATAAAAATTAAGAGGTCGTCTAAGGTGCATATTGAATAACTGAACTGTCAATTTAACGAGGAAAAAATAGAACTAAGCGACAGAAGCATAACTGAAGACTTGCAGTGTCTATTAAGGCACACTATGTTTACTTTTGACTCCAAGAGCCCAAATTATATTAAATCAAATTCACACAAAACTACAGAAATCTACAAAAGTATGGAATAAGAGTCACTCTCATATAAAAAGAGAAAAAGAAGAAAAACCGTGGGAAAAAAACTACTAATAAAAAGTGCAGAAGATAATAATAATCTTACAAACAGTTTGTAGTCCTCCGATATGTGAAGCAAAAATTGAGGGGGAAAAAAGACCATGAGGTTAAGACCAAAACAAATCAAATTAAAACTGTAAAATCTAACAAGACTTAAAAATGAGATATTTTTTTCTCCTAATAAAATACATAAGGTACACTTGCATTCTTCAGTTATAGGAAACTCAATTACATATGATTTCCTATTCCAATGCCACCCATAGTCATCAGAAAGGTCGTAAAAAAAAAAACAACACACCCCCGAGACATATCCTTAAACACTTATTCCCAATGAAGTTTAAAAAAAATGAAGCATGAAATATTAAAACTGACGATTTCCCATTTTATTTCTTTTAAAGAAAAAAAAGAACTATATATACATACAGGCGTCTCCTCATGGCATTCGGGCATACTTCGGGCCTAAACGAAGATGGAAAAAAGAACAAGACAGAAGCGTGTTAAATGCAAGCAGGAAAATTAGTGCAGAGATGAAAATTTTCATGCAATCAACACTGTCTTAAACATTCAATCCTTTGAGGTGCTATTAAGAATTGATTTATGTCTAAATCTTAAAGAGACAATGATGCTATAACTGAAGCTGAGCTATAATTGAGGTTTAAGACATAAAATATTGTGACTGACACTGAAAGCTTTGACGTTTAATTGCAATAAGATCACTACAAGAAAGTAGACTCATTCATAAGAATGTTAGCCCTTTCAAAATTTAACTAACAAGGCCCAAAATAAGTTCAAAGTAAAATCAAAACAAGAAAATTGCATGAGAGGTTCAAAAAGTAAAGTTGTAAGTTTAAAAAAACCACAAACAACAACAAAAAAAAAATTACTACGAATATTTTTCTACTAAATATCTACCAAGAAAAGCAACTACAGTTGGCATGATGTTGCTTTTTCCATGAGCTGTGATACACCTTAGCAGAACACATTGGTGTGTGTGTGTGTATGTGATAGTGTAAACTAAAGGGGGAGGGGGAGGGGGGGGGGAGTGATCCTGCTGCGTGATTGTGATTGTAATCCCAAAGCATCTGAGTATAATCTTGTGGGAGCCCAGAGCAAGAAAGATGAAGATAAATGGGTGAAATGTTATTAAGGTTTTGCTCAAGGTTTTACCAGTATTGAAAAGCAACTTTAAAGTTTCTGCTTTTTTTTTTTTTTTTTAAAAAAAGGACCCCTTGGAAACTGAGTTTTAGCTATCAAATTACATGTTTACTTCAATTGCTACTCTGCTTCAACTGGCAAGTGCACTAAAATAAAATACTGTGCTAGAAATTTGCCATAAAGCGTACAAAAGAATACATTTTTATACTGCTTACTGAAAAATTAAAATTCAAAATTTTATAATCAACAGAGTAGAGTTGAGAAATTTGAACACAAAAAAAGCTCTAGAACATATAACTTGTAGTCCACTACATACACGAACTTTTCTGGTGGCAGAGCGCCATCTGCTTGTAGAGTTTCGAAACAGTTTTTGTTGTGACAGACGCAGAGAGAGTTGGCGACTCATACCACCAGCTTTAGCTGAATCCTTGTCCTGAAAGAATTGTTAATCACAACATTCACTGAACCATCACCAACAAGAAATAGGTCTCAGTTTCAACTGACTATTGAACCAAAAAACACGACAAACATCTAAACTATCATCTAGAGTAGTAATTATTTTGAGGGTAGATAAGTGGCAAACAGTTTAGATTTTTTTTTTTTGTTAAGAGTTTTAAAGATGTAAGAAGTAATCTGGAACACTACTCAGAAAAGTAAAGTGGGACTTAGGAGAAACAAAACATGCAGCACAAACTTTTGGCAGGGTGAATGAACCGCAAATCCCAGGCACTTTTTATCTATACCACTTCCTACTACTGTATTGCCATACAAAACCATAGCTCATGGTAACCAGTGTAAAATAAATAGATGAACGCGTACTATACTATGCTGATTTTTTTTAGGAGACCACCATTTTAAGTAGACAGAAAACATGCCAAAAATAATAACATTTTGGTAGATTATCTTACCGTAGGCCTTCTAAGGAGGGCATATTCATATCCTAGTATGAAATACAAGATGAGCACAGCCAAAGGGTTTGCATAAATGCTCCAGTGCTGGTTTTGGCTAATTAAAGTACGAGGATCATCAGTGCAGTTTGTTTTGTAAACAGGTTTTAAGGCAAGATATCTGGAACAAAACATCAGAAAACCCTGTGAGCATAGCATAAAATGTTATAAATTTTAAAAAATACAGTGTAATGACAGAAAAGTAAAATACCTTCCAATGTCTTCTCTAATCATAAACCAATCCTCTGGCCATGGAACTTGAACTAAGAACAGCACCAACAAATGCAAAGCAGCATATGTTTGTATAACTCTACAGACAACTGCAAATTTGCCTGCTAGCTGTTTGTAACATGACCAATACGTAGTTGCAATAATAAAAGATAGGTAATAAACCATGTTCAGGACGGAGGGACATACTGCGCCCGTGACACAAAATGCACACAGAACAACATACTTCCCTATTAAAAATGGTTTCAAAAAATGACAAACAAATTAATTAAGATGATTAAACAAAGGCTCAATGAAAAAAATAAGACGGAACATATTTGTTTACTTCTTACCAATGGCAGTGAGGAAATTAAACTTGGACTTTAAGGCAGGATCTTGACTTTCTGTATTGCTGTCTGTCCTTGTTACATCCGTATGGCACTCTTCAATATCTTTTTTCTTTGGTCTGGCACATACAATGTAAAGAGACAAGGATGAGGCAAGAAGTAGCGCCTCAGGTAGGACCCATCTCATGCAATCAACAGCAGCAACACTGTCTAAGCGTATCAAACCAGCTATTCTAAGGGCAGCTTCTAATTCTTCACCTTTGGATTGAGGATAAATTTAAATTTATACATTATTAACTTCATAAGTGTAAGTAAGTGTAAAATCACAAGCTTACTGTTCTTACATTTTGGCAGGAAAGAGGCATATGGAGGCATGCTCAAAAGAACAATTTGAAAAATTAATTTTCCTAAAGCCACAAGCCCCGATGTGGCTATAACACCCTTCAGGTAACGTCCTGCATGACCTAAAGATTTTAAATGATCAATAAAGTGTTTTGGTCAAACTAAATGCAGAAAGAAAACAACTACACATGTAGATCAAGAAATAAGTAATAAGTAACACTTACAGGCGTCCCTTGAAGTCGGAAGGGAAACAAATGGGAGGTAAAGCAGCAATATGAGATAGATAAATGACACCCCATCCTGCCGTATAGCCACACCTGCAACAAAGGCAATAATCCACTATGAGTAAAAAGAAATGATAATAAAGAGAATAATTAGGTAACATGTAGGAAAGTTGAATTGAGTGTTTCGGCCAAGTAGTCATAGGTCTAGGTGGCGCATTGCGATTCGCACCACGTTATGAGCCGCGCGGGCCGGATGCCGCCTACCCCCCCATCCCCTTCCTTTCACTCTCCATCTTTTTTTCGGTTTCCTATTTTCCCCTTACGCCCTTACGATGCCCCTCCCCCTCCCCCCACCCTCTCTACCCGCCGGGCCGGCCACTTCATCTTCCCGAGGGAACGATAACGGCAGCAGCGCCCCTCGCGAGGCTACGTCAAAGAAGAGGGTGAGAGACTGCCAAAGGGGGAAGTACCAGAACGAACGGGCGCTCGCGACTGTGTGATTCAGCCATCACTCTTAAGGGGAGAAGTGGTAAGAGACACGCGCTCGAGCGGGCAGAGAGCGGATGTAAAGGGTATACGGGAGAGATATACGCCATAGGCGAAAAAAATAAATAACCATTATGGTTGTCAATCGAAACAAGGGACGGCACATCATCTGCAGAATTTACAGCAGGGCGTGGTGGTGATGCGTGGAGCTGAAGAGTAAGGCCGCAAGGCGGGGTG